TGAGATGGCTGCCTGAAGGTCACCCAGGGAGTTTCACGGACCGACCAGCTGGGGCTGAGCACCTGGATCTCCTTCAGCCCAGCCCGAAGATCTAATCATCCACTGCCCTGCATCTCGTGAAGCTGTGTCAGTTGTTTCCTCACTGACTGAAGACATGTAAAGGAAGGGAGAGATTGTGGAGTTATGTCCATGGTGTGCTATTGTGTGTTATATCACGCCAGGCATTTAATATTTCATCCAAGCTGTCCTCTTCATTAAAAGGACTTCAAGGGGATCCTTCTTAAATAGTTCTGGATACAGAACTTAGAAAATAACTTTCTGAGACGTCAGCTCCCCAATCCAACATGGACTAACTGCAGAATATTTGGAGTCGTGAACTAAAGAGAGGAAAGAATTTTTTTCCAAGTTTTGCTTGGGTAGTGCAACAGTTCCGTGTTGAGTCATTCCACTACAAGGTCACCACGGGTCAAGATGTGGAGAAAATGAAGGCAGGCAGTGGCCACCATATCCTTCATTAAGGAAAAAAAAAACCCAAAACCCTCCTGTCTGCGTCTGTGTTCTTTCCTCAGCGGGAGATTTTTAATAAGGTTGTCTTGGCAACGTGTCATATTCATCATCTTTCTAGTCCCCATGACAATCCTCCTTGGTGAAGCATCGCAAGGCAGACACAGGCGGCTCTCCCCTGCCAAGCAGGAAGGGGCTGGAGATGCTTTAGATTTGTGGGATGCTGAGGGCTTCAAAGCCTTATCAAGGGATTCAGAGGGGAAGAGCACAGGCCGGAGAAGCTGCGAGACAGCCAGCGTCACCTCCCTGGCTTATCACCGCCATAAAGAGTTTGGACTGGAGAGGCCTCGGAGAAGACTGACAGGCAAGGATAGATAAACGCAAGCAAACCACCACCACCCCCAAATCAATTCTCCAGCAGTCCTGACGGCACACAAAACAGCAGGAAAGAAAGAGAGCAGAAATCAATAGGAGAAGGGAACTGGGATTATGTTCAAAGCCCTAAGAAGAAACTTGAAGGGGAAAAAAATGTCTTTATAAATTGCATAAAAGAAGGCAACGGGCACGCTAGCGCCATGAATTAATGTGGTATGCACTCGTGGCTGGCAATGGGAAAATCCAGGCTGAAGTCCATTGTCGAGGGAAAATTTAATTTACATTTATGTTTGATCAGAATTGATCACGTTTCTTCACATTCAAGGTCGGAAAAGGCTGTGAGATTATAAAAAATTGGAGGGCCCTGAAGGTGACCCACACATTCATTGGGGCCCAGGGCTAACCCCATGAGTGTTGGTTGCCATCCTCACAGGTTGGCCCTTTTTATCGCCCCCCACGGCAAGCAGGTGCAACATAGATGCCTCTCCATCAGGGCTGACTCTGCCGGGAAGCTAAGCGAGGTGGTCTGGGAAGTGTTGCAGAGTTTTTACTTCCTGGTTAAATTCCTCTTAATGGCACAGCAGAAGTTGCAGGGATTCATGGGGCAGAATAGCTTCAAGCTCCCCAGATTAGTCCACCCCTTTTTTTTTACTCATCAACTTGCACTTACACTCTCGATAACTCACTCTTGAGACATTCGTCAGAGAATGTAAGGTTTTAGGAACAAAGCGTGATGGGACATGTGAGCTGGAGAATTGCCCATGGCAGCAGCACGTTCTCTGCTCTCTTCTGAGCTATTTACCTGGTTAAGGTAAGATGCCCAACTGTGGGCTGCCCCCTCCCCGAAAATATTTCGCTAAAAAGAAAGCAAGAAGTAAAACAGGAACTGGCTCGAATAGGTACTTCCGGTTCTGTCTTTCCCTTCATCCATTTATCTTTCTGTTTTGTTTGTCACTGTTTGAAGCTTCTGAGAGTGGAAAATGAAATTCTGGAGCCACATTTTTTTTTCCCACGGCAAAATTTCTTGGTGAGCTTCCCTCTTGCACTGGGGGGAAAAAAGGTTCTTTGAACTCTGCTCTTTACAAAAATCACACAGCATTTACTACAAAACACATTGGCAAATGCTCAGAGCTTTAATCCATCTAATAACAATTAATTAATTACATAATAGTTGATTAATTAAATTAATTGTTCAATCAATCAATCAATCACATAATTAATTACTTAATTACACAATCAATTAATTGGCTACTTTAATCAATTGTTATTAAAATAATTACTTAATTAGATTAATTAATTAATCATTCATCCAGCACAAACCTTTTGATCTAGATGGGTGGTGTAGAAATCCAATAAATAAATAAATAAATAAATAAATAACATGAATAACATGAATAACATGAATAATCATGTACCATCAAGTCAATTCTGACTTCTGGTGATCCCTTTCCAGGTTTTTCCAGGTAGAGAATGATCAGAAGTGATTTCCCCTTCCCTTCTTCGTGGGGGTTCCTGGGATTGTGCAGCTTGCCCAAGGCCACCCAGGCTGCCTCTTCTCCTTGAAGGCTAAGTGAGGAATCAAACTCCCATTCTTCGGCTCTGCAGCCAGAGACCTCAGTCACTGAGCCCGCCAGCCAGCTATTAATTCTATCCAATCCCAGCAAAATGAACAGAGGAATGGGGGCCTCATATCTCACCATGCTAGTGCATCAACCTCTTCTTGTTGTTTAGTCCTGTCTGGCTCTTGGTGACCCCCCATGGACCAGAGCACACCAGGCCCTCCTATCTTCCACTGCCTCCCAGAGCTGGGTCAAATTCATGCCCAGCAAAATGAACAGGGGAATGGGGGCCTGATATCTCACCATGCCAGAATGGAGACTCATGATATCTGTGGTCCAAAAAAAAATGCCTCCAGGTTTCCTTTTACTTTTTCCCCTACTTTAGATCCAGTCCCGTCTCTTTCTCCCCAGTTATTTTCTGAAGGTTACGCCAAGGGAGATATATTGGATTGGTGTCCCCTCTCCACCCGCCCTGTCCTGCTCCATAGCATTCCAGTTTACAGAGATCAGGGGAAATATTCCCTTTAATCCTGGATTACACAGAATTGTTCTCTTGGATACAGCTGCATTTCTCCTGGAAGTTTAAACAAGTGCTTTGAAGCTCTTTGAATTCCAAAATGTCACATTCTTTATTTGGCTTATGCCGTGGTATTAGCAAAGTAGCTTTCGTTCAATATCATCAGGCAGGCCTACTAAATGACAAAGTGGCATTTTCCTTTCAACATGCTAGCCTGCTGAATATTTCCATATTTTCAATGAAGTCCTGCTTGTCTCTTTATGGATTGAGTGACATCTTCCTCTTCTTCTCAAAAAAAAGAGAGACAGGAAGAAAAATGATTAGGAAGTTTCCTTTGACGGCTTTTAAACATTCCCCCTGTGAATAGACTGTTCTCGTCCATAAAAATGAATAGACTGTTCTCATCCATAAAACTGAAATGCATCTTGTTTGGAACAGTTTCTAGCTAAATGGTTCCCAACCTTTGGTCCGCAGATGTTCTCCTGTGTTGGCCAGGATTTCTGGAAGTTGCAGTCCGCAAATATCTGGGGACCCAAGGCTGGGGCTCTCTGTTGTTGCTGATGATCTGGAGACATAGCAAGCTTGCTAGAATGAAGCAAGTCCTGCTCAAGCCTACAGCTGGATAGGAGGTGACTTTGGAGCCCACATGGAGAACTTTGAAGCCCTAAGAGCTTGTCTGCCCAGCTTCTTTCGGAGCAAAGCAGAAAACAAAGCATGTTCCTTACATACCACCCTGTAGCACTTAAAGCAACTCTCTGGATGGCTTACAATTAATTATGTAGGGTACACATTGCCACTTCCCCCCAGCAAGCTTGGTACTCAAGTTACTGACCTCAGAAGGATGGAAGGATGAGTGAACCTTGAGCCAGCTACATGGGATTGGACCAGGTTGTGAGCAGAGTTTTAGCTGCAGTACTGCAGTTTAACCCCAAGGCTCCAGGAGAAGCAGGTTGGTGCCGACTAAACAGAGTTGGCCAGGGTTGTTAGAAGTGTGAGATGCTATTTGGTGTGATCCTTGCATCCACATGGCATGTCAGAGCTCAGGCGACCTGGCTCCTTCCAAATGGAATTTCCAACATTATGAAATGCACAGCACTTTGCAGAAAGAGTCACTCAAATTCATTCTGGCTGAGATGCTGTAGCTCGCACAGGTCTTGTTGATGTAACTTGGACCCCTGCTTGTCCCATTATAATGGGCACATTTCAGTTAGTGCAGCCTAAGCATGTGGGCAGGATCTTTGGAGAGGTGAAAGCCACCATGTGTGTGCAGGACCCTTGCCCTTCCTGGCTTATAAAAGCATCCAGAGGGACAGACTTCTAAGTGCATAGTGAGAGTCTAGGAATCACTCTATTAATTTAGATATTTTAATGTGTGTGTTTTAAAACCATTTAAAAATATTTTAAATGGTTTTTAATCATGGGTTTCATCTTGATTAAAGTTTAATGTTTTGTAAAATATATTTTGTAAGGTCTTTTAAACTTATTGTCGTTTTAATTGTTGTGAGCTGGGTCCCTTAGGGCAAGAAAAGGGGCATGGAAACCATATAAATAAATAATAACAAACGAATAAGTGAGCCACTTCACAATACTGGCAAACTGCACAATGCCTCTGCACTTTGACAGAGAGGCAGGGGAAGTAGATTACTTTTTTAGACTGTAGCAAGACCATCGCTGATGCACTGCATCACCTATTGAAAAAAAGTGTTTCCTTTATCTTGTCCTAAAAGGCTTGTTGAGAAACTGCCCACAGCCAAATCCAATGAGATCACGTCTGATTTTATCTCGGCAGGTGGGAGCCCATGATTAGCATGTTCCACTGATCTCCTTTCACTCTTAGCTTTTTTTTTATTTAAAAAAATTGCCTTCTTTAAGCCGAAACAGCTCACAACTAAGCTTTGGTCCTTGTAATTATTAATGTAGATTAGAGTCCTCCCCGTATCTCTGGACTCTGAAGGGGAAGGGAGAAAATAATATTATGAAGCCCTCTAATCTGAATCACTCCCGTTGTAGATGGAAAGGTTGAGGGAAATCTATTTAAGCAGCACCCGATCTGGGAGGAACGACCTTCAGCGCAGCCTGTAAGGACAAACCGGCACATGAAACGTCTGCTGAAGAAAGGGAGGACGTTGTTTGATGGTGCCTTGGCTGGAAGTTCCCCAGTGGTATGTTAGGCAGCTAAAATTCAGTCTGAAGGGAAACAAATGTGTTGAAGATTTGCAAGGGGGGCGCGCGCGATGCGTCATGGATGTATAATGGAAAAGCAAGAAGACAAATTGCAACAAATAACGTTCTCTTTTTTTCCAAACCTCACGCTCTTTAGACAAGCTGGTGTTTCTGTGACTAGTGGCTTGGAAAGTGAGCTACAAGATGGGAAGTGAAGGCCCAGGTTCTAATTTCACGTCTGTCACAAATCCTTTAGCTTGGTTCACACGGAACGCCAAGCTGCAGTTAAGGGTTGTGTGCGTGAGCGGCCAGGCTCAGGTGGTTCCACTTCCTTGAGAGGACTTCTTGTTTCCAGGCGAAACTAACTGTGCTAGCTCGTTAACTATGCTAACCTAGTTCAAAGCAACAAGGGTTTAAGATGAGCTGTGCTTTAGGACACAGGTGGGCAACCCCAGGAGATCTAGAGAGAGGCACTTTCCCCAGATACTACAGGTTATACCAGTTGCCTCACACCAGTCCATCCTGGAAGGTCACTGCCCCTTTTTAAAAATCATTTTAAAAAGTTTGACGATGCTTAAAAAGTAGGGACAGACAACATGTAATCCATGCGGTTCCTGCAACCTTCTAAGGGCATTTTGATGGCTTTCTAGGTCAATTAGGACAGACATCCCCCCCAATATGCCTACACTTCCCCCAAGATTATATTTACATTTCTTTTTCAATTAGAAAACTTTTCTTCCCACTGAAGCCCTTTTCTTTCTTTCTTTCTTTCTTTCTTTCTTTCTTTCTTTCTTTCTTTCTTTCTTTCTTTCTTCCTTTCTTTCTGCTGTTAAAAAGTCATTTGAACCTGTGATTAACAATCAGGCTTATTCTGCTAAAGCCATGCACCATATTTAACTGAATGCTGAAACATCATAGTTCTTTGTGGTTCGCCATTTATGGGAATGTTTTCCCCTGACCACCAGAGATGTAGAAACACACAAAAAGGATGTGGATGAGGATTGGGTGAAAGTGTCTAAAAAGGGACACAAGACAGATCAGGCTCCAATTTTTCTGCCATTATTTGGGCAAAGACTGGGTTGGGTGCCCAGTGCACATCCCTATGAAAGAGTCTGGAATCCTGTTTGCATAGCTAGGCCATTTCCTTACCATCGGTGATTTTTGGAAATAAAAATATTTTCGACCCCTCTCCCCCTGCCCCCGCAGAGATCCTGAGGCTCCTGTGGGATCCTCTTTATCATACGGAAGCCATTGGAAGCCAAAGGATGGATGGGAAGTATTGAATTTCAGTAAAATGCTGCTGTTAGGCTGACTTTGGTGGCGGCTTTTTTTCCTTTTTCTTTTTTGAAATTAGGGACTTTCTACCAACTCCATGACCTCTAGGGGCTTCCCCACGATAAAATGGGAAGCTCAGGACATTTGGGTGGGTTGGGGGAAATCAAACATGTTTTATTTCCAAAAAAAAATAAATTGTCATGGCTGATCCCCATTCGTGGGAATGCCCAGTCACTCCCAGAGATGTGGAAACACACATCACCACCAGCTTGGTTGTAACAACTGCTGAGATCAATGTGAAGAGTGGTGTATCAGTTAGGAGTTGACAGAACCAGAGTTAGTTCTCCAGAAAGCGATGAAACACACAGGGTCTCCTTGGGCCGATCACTTTCTCTTTAAGCCCGACCTGCCTCACAGAGCTGTTTTGAGGATACAGCAAGAAGGGAGAGGACCATAAACCCCACTGACAAAGAGGCATGTCAGGTGATAAATAGAGTGGTCCCCACACCTCGCAAGACAAATGTAATCCATTCCGCGAGTAGCGCTGTCTTACACAAAAAATCGTATTGCGAAAAGCAGTTTCCCATAGGAATGCATTGCAATGCATTCCTATGGGAACCTCGCAAGACGAATGAAATTTTTTCATCTTGCGAGGCATCGGTCTCAGGGGGGGAACCGCCTTGTGAAGCATGGCCATAGAAGAAGCCATCTTGCGAGGCACCATAGCGCTTGCAAAGACCAATCGTCTTGCGGGTTTTTCGTCCCACGAGATGTTCGTTTTGCGAGGCACCACTGTATAGGCATAATATATTAATAAACAGTATCCTATAGACCCAATACATAATTATGAGTTGACAGCATTTAAATTGCACCAGACTTTTCTTGGCCATGAAATCTAAGGAAAAGCATGGTTTCCAAAAAAAATAATATTTTTTTTAATGAGGATTAAATAGAATCACAGCCTATGCTTCTGTTAATTGATAATCCTTCACCTGACAATTAAGACACAGGATGGTGTCTCTTTATACAACAGGTGAAAAACACTCATTCTTCACCTGACAGTTTTGTGCCAGGGGGCAACCAATGTCAACGTGGCTATTATGTTCAGGGATATGTATGTATGCATGTGTAGATAGGCAGATTGATAGATCAAGGTTTTAGATAGGTAGGCAGGTAGTAGAAAGATTGAGTTGCTAGAGAGAGAGGGAGAGGGAGAGAGAGGCAGAGGGAGGGAGAGAGTCGTTTTCACCTAAATCCAATTGGCAAAATGGAGTTAGCACTTTCTTTTTACATTCTGTTAAAGGTGGGGGAACATAAGGAGGAGTCCTGATACACATCCCTCTACAAACATTAATTAATCATAGAAAGAGCTAAGAGCTTTGGCTAGGAGAAAAATCCATTGGATTTGAGCACAGAATTTCCAGAGCTGTGACTATATTAGGAGGCTAAAATGATTTATGGTCAACAGAACAGAGATAATATAACAATGGACTGCAAAATCAATAGTCATGCCCCCAAATGGATTAAATCCACTACCAAGAAGAAGACTTTCCTCACGTCAGGGTCGATCAGCGCAGAGCAGGGAACCAAATGTTCTCCCAAGCGACAGACGTTAGCGTGGTGTAGTGGGCAGAGTGTTGAACTGGGACTTGGGTTCTTGGTGTACTTGTCATTCCCCAAGGAGTGTGAGGAAAGAAAAGGGAAGGGCATGAGTATTTTGGCCATTTGATCTATTTTTTAATATTTTTTTGACAAATTCTCTCAGTAGCTCAGTACGAATATTGCACTACTGAGCAAAAACTTCAGAACTGGGGAAAGTTGGCTTTTCCAAGCAGGGAATGCTCGTGATCAACAGTTTATCGATAGAAGCAGAAATCTGCCAGTGTTGCAGAGACGTGACTCCGGTAGAACTTCATGACTGAATAATTATACTTGCGAAAGATGTTTTTCTTTACTTTCTGATCACAAAACAAAGAACGCTACTCTGCTAACAGTGGGAAGTATGAGAAGCTCCTGCTGTGACAATCAGACATTCTCAGCACTTAAAGAACTCCAGATGGGCTATCCGTAGCATAGAGTTGGGTCCCAGAACTTTGCTTCTCAATGCAGATAAAGAAACTGCAGGGCAGTAGAGTGGGTGCTGTGCAGTGGTCTAGGAAGAGCTTGGGCTTGCAGGATCAAAGCTTCTAGACTGGTGAGCAAGGATGATGACGGGATCCTCTGATTTCCTTCTGCAGGCTTTCCTGTTCACTCTGAACACAACTGCAATCCTCTCGGCCGAAGGGAAAGAAATGGATTTTTCCCAAGATCAGTGCCTTGTGGAGAGTTAGGTCTGCTCTCAGTTATACACCGACGAGGGTGTTCTTGGGCTATCTTGGCCCGCAGCTTGATAGAGTTATCTTTTGGACTACAACTCCCAGAATCCCCCAGCCAGAAATGGGCACTGATGGTGCTGGCTAGCAGCCCGAGAGAGCTGTCGCCCCGAGACGTACCTACCTCAAGTTGTGCTCCAGGCCTAAACTGTTCAGGATATTAATATCAGCATAAACCAGGAAATACTGTATAATATTGCTGATACTATAAACAGCTTATTCTAAGCAGGCCCTACCTAAAAGCCAGGATTCAAGATGGGTGTCCAGTGTCCATGAACTTTTGGACAGAATTTCCAAGGAAAATGAAAAGGCACAAGGAGGCACCCACTCCAGAAAATCCTCTGTAGCTTCTTTCCAATGCATGTCTAACCTGTGCGTTTAAGGCGCATGAACCGCAGCATAAGCAGGCCCTACCTAAAAGCCAGGATTCAAGATGGGTGTCCAGTGTCCATGAACTTTTGGACAGAATTTCCAAGGAAAATGAAAAGGCACAAGGAGGCACCCACTCCAGAAAATCCTCTGTAGCTTCTTTCCAATGCATGTCTAACCTGTGCGTTTAAGGCGCATGAACCGCAGCAAAACCGCCTTCCTTTGATCTCCCCGTCTGGCGCTCGTTTCCATGACGGCAGGCACAATGGCCACTTACCCAGGGAGACCTTGGCTTGCATAAAGATGACAGCCTCCGAGTGAATGGCGGCAATTATGCCAACTTGATTTGCAGCTGCAGACTAAGAGGCGAAACCTGGTGACTTGACCGAGAGATAGATTAGGACAATAAGAAGCAAAGCCTACAGAGACTTCTTCCCCCTGCTCCCCTCAGAGGTGGACATTGGTCAAGATCTTCATCGTCATCTTTTGCTTGACTGAGGAGAGCCTGCGACTTCTCGTTCTCTGAACAGACATATTCATTATTAAGAATTAGCCTCCTCTGCTCAATCAAATTAGCTGTGATGACATTACGGCGCCACAAAGCCTTTTGCGTATCCCCCTCCCTCCATGTTCCTATTTCTGGATTGTTTTCTACAATCAGATCTGCTTCTGCGTGTAATTCTTATGCTAAATATAGACAGATGTCTTCTCTCCATCCCCTCTCTCTCACACAACCATGTTGATATTGAGTGGCAGAAAAATAAGAATGTCTGCATTGTTGCAGAATCATTTTACTCAAATATATATAATGTTCTTGTTAAGTGCTCTCAAGTTGGGCTTTCAAGGTAAGGGAGATATTTAAGGAGTTGTTTTCTCAGTTCCACATCCTCAGTGAGTTTCCAC